GGTGATCCCCAAGAGAAGAAAGGGAAAACACCCAAATGAACTCCATCATTATTAAAATCAGAATTTCTCTGAAGAGTATTTAGAGTTTGTAATATGAAAAGATGTTTATATTAAAATATAAGTGCTAAAATCAGGAGTCAAGATTATATCTTTGATGAAACAATGACTACATAAACAAAAAATAAAACTATGGGAAAAGCATGAAGATAATCATCCCTGATATAACAGATTATCTTTCAGTGGTGGGACAAATGATGTTAAGATAGAGAAATTCCCAAGTTGCTATGGGCTCACAAAGGAAGACAAGCCTAGGGGTTCAGAAAAGATTTTCTGGGGACTGGATCCAAAGGGATGAGTAAAAATTAGCCCAGGAAAAATGAGGTGGATGAGTATTCCAAACAAACAAACAAAAATTAAATATAAAAACAGGGAAGTGAAAAAAAAAAAAAAACAGGGAAGTGTGAATCTTCCATGGTGCCTTGGCTTCTCAAGTTTCCTTTGCTCTCTCTCTCTCTAGGAAGGACGTCATTGTTATAGTTGGTATAGCTAAGATGGATGCCAAAGTGGTTGCTCATGAAGAGTATCCAGCCAATAACATCATCATCCATGAGGATTTTGATAATGAAACCATGATCAATAACATAGCCCTCCTGAAGACAGACACGGCGATGGAGTTCAGCAACCTGATCCAGCCCATCTGCTTCCTCAGCAGAAAGCTGCATGTGCCACCAGCCTTGCGGAACTGCTGGGTGGCAGGATGGAATCCCACGTCTGCAGTTAATGCCTTCCTTCTCCTAGAGGAGGCTGTGTGTATGCTAGCAGTGGGGGTGACTTGGATGAACCATTCTAGAGCTTATTTTAATAATTCAGGTTGTTTGAGATTCTGGTATTGGGCTGGAACCCTCATGTAATAAGTCAAGATTTCCAATGCTTGCCTTTTCTGTGGCCATTCTTATATGTGTTCCTTTTTCTTCTAGTCCTACACCAAAATTAGAAGTACATAGGCAGCAAATAGCCTGAAGTGAGTGCAAAGTTATAGCGGGGCAAGGGGATACTATTCCCTGAACTGGAACTGATTATCCTCTTTGCTAAGCTGTCCTTGTTTTCTCTTATTCTTGGAAAATGAATAAGGAAATGTATTCTCTGTAGATGTAGAAGAAGGATGGAATATGTTATTTTCACATCCAAGTTCAAAACAAAGGTAGTTTTCAGAAAAACTCTGACACAGGTTCTGATTTCTATAAGGAAAAGGGGCTTATCAGAACATTTTCTACTCACTCCCATGTAGATACGTGAGTTGTAGTTGAGCTGACATAGGCAATGTCTTCTTGTTAATAATTCTTGGCTCTCTGTTGCATGGTCCAGACAGGAAATCACATGACGATGAGTATCCTGAGGAAAATCTATGTGAAAGACATCAACCTATGTCCCCTACACAAACTCAAGAAAACAGGATGTGGCAATCACATGGAACAGGAAACTGATGCTGTCTGCTTGGTAAGAGCATGATGGAGTAAAAGCTAAAGGCTGAGAGTGAGCAGTGGTCACTTCAAGGGAACCTTGAGACTCCCTCATTGCATGGTCAACTCCATGAGGGACTGGCAGGGACTGGCACCTGGCACTCATAGCTGCCTCCAGCACTTGGCAGACAGTAGATGCTCAATAAAAATCTACTAAATGGACTAAACAGTCACCATTTTAAATGTGACATGATTAAGCATTTCTATGGCATAGATGTTTTCTCACTGGCTAAAAGTCTGAAAGTGTGAATCCAAACTATGCATGAAGATATACTTCAAGCATGTCTACAGGGTGGGGTCATTGTATTCAGCTTCTATAGAGCCTACACTCTGATGCTATTGCTCATCAGTTATTGGAGTTTTTTTCTGTAAGAAGCCCTGCCCTCCATCTGGAAGAGAGTTGTATAGATGTGGTTGTCCTACACCTCAGCAAAATGTGTGGAATTCATAAACCCCTGGCCCAGGCTCCCTCATGCCCATACTCAGAGAAAGTGTGATTTACAGAGGTCATACAGTTAATAAATGTTAGAGTAAGGATGAGAACATAGGTCCACCAGATTTCCAGGCAGTTTTTCTCCTCTACTCCAAAATTTCTAAGGTGCGGATCATCCACTCTCCTTCAAATAAGTGTCAGGATTCCCTGGTGGGGAATTTTTTTTCCCCAGATGATTTATGGAAAGTATTTTAGAGAAAGGCAGAAAAATACATATATGCAGATAATTCTTTCGAAAAGTAATTTTATTGCAAATACATGAAGGACTGCCTTTCATTAGGCAGTGAGTTTGCCTTTCCAAAGTTGGTTCAACATTTGAGTGCCTACTTTGTATGAAACTCTCTACCCATAGAAGACCAACAACTTTTTAAAGTAGATAACATGTTAAAATACATTAGAAAATATAGCTAGTTATCAAAATCCTGCTGTTAACCATTCCATCAATCCAGCACATATTTCATCAAATTGAAGATGCTGTTATTTGTAGAATCCACCATTATTTTATGATCAATCATGAGAGAGAACTCTGACATCAACCAATTAAAAGACACATCTCATCTCAAAGATGTAAATTTTTCAAGAGCATCTTAGATTCAATGGAATATGGTAAGCTGCTCATACTCTAAAATGATTACCTCTTTAAATCTATCTGCAAAGTTCAGAGTGGTTTTTACCTATTGGTTTTTAACTATAGTGCACCTGCAGTCAGTCCTTTGTTTTTGAACTGTGCTTGCAAACTGGCTCAGACACTGACTTGTCCACCTAGGATCCTTTCCTCTTTCAGAAATATGTTCCAGTGTCCAGAGATCCTCATAGTCATATTTCAGATATGTAGGATAAGCCACCCAAGTTCAGTATCTGCCTAATGAGTCCCCAGAAATCCAACCCAAAGCAGAATCACTCTGAACTCACTGCTCCCCCTTCTCCTCACAACTGTTAGGGCTTTTGTTCAATGTCAAAGCTGAGCATTACACAATGAAAGAGCCCCTCTAAGCTGGGGCTGCTCCTCTGGGAGATGAGCTGGGGTTGCTTCAGAGAAGCACCTGGTACTACTTCTCTCAGCTGCTTGGGCTTCAGAAGTTAGGTCCCACACGTTAGGAGGAAGAGAAAAAGCACTGCATTCTACACCCAGGTGGAATGGCAACTTGCAAAACCATGCAACAGCCAGGGAGATCTACTGCACAATCATTCATCAAACTATTTGTCCTAAATGGCATGATTTTTCTTCCTTAAGCTATAAAACCACAATTAAGGCAAACTGGGAGTGGTATTGGTGACAGGAGGGGAGACCATGCTATGCTTGGCCAGAGAACTTCTCTGACCAAAGTAGACATGATATGGTGCTAAAGGAGTCTATTTAACAGTCCTATCACTGCCAGCCAGAACTTGGGATGAAATCTCTACCCTCTGCTCCATGGCAGCACGGGGCATCAAAAGCAATGTGTGCTTGACCGGCCCTTCTCAGAGACAGGCCACACAGGTCAAGGGGGCTGCCCAGCCTTTGAATGACAACCCCTCTTGGGGTAAGATGGACCACTAGGCTGGAGTGGGGGGTCAGAAATACCCTTAAGGGGAGGCTTGGGAGTGGGGCAGCTAAGGTAAATTATACCAAGCAGTTGTCTTGTTGCTAGTCCTCATATTTCTCAGCTTTTCACATAAAAATGATGGCCTTTTATAGACACCAGAATAATGGTAGCCAATTCTTCATTGAGTGCAGCCTGTGTGCCAGGCACTGTGTTAGGAGCTCTGCATGTAGTATAGGCACTTTAACTCAGAGAGTAGTAGGTGACTCGCCAGGGTCATATATCTAGTTAAGTGTGCCAAGCTTCCACACACTCCCTCAAAGGGAGATCAGGTGTGTGCGGCAGAATCACCTCTGAGTCCCAGAGGACTTCCTATGGGAAGGCTGGGAGCGTGGGCAGGGCTGATGAGCAGGGGCACCGACAAGTGCCAACCAGGTGGACAGGCTGTGAACCTAGCCTGGTCAGTGCTCCCCGGGGAAATGTGGCTCTGACCTCGGCAGGAGTGTGGGATGGAGGGAGCAGCTTGAATGAAGGATAGAAACACAGCAGAGAGAAGGAAAAATGTGAGCATTCCAGGCCAGAAACGGCGGGGGTGGGGGTGGGGGAATCAACATTTGAGGAATGAGAAACCAAAAGAGAGTGAGGATTTAGTCAAAGGGCCATGAAAATGAAATGAGAACCAGGAAGCTGTTGCCAAACTGCAAAAACCTACAATAATTTGTATAATAAAAGAAAATGTCATCTTGTTGGAATTTATGGTAGCAGCTGCCTAGTTTGGAATTGGTATGCTATAATGTACCCCAACTCCAGTGAGAACCAGTGTAAAACATTTCTGGAACAAATAGTAAATTGTACAAGCATTTATATATATATATATATTTTTTAAGTTTTTCTAAGACCTGAAACTTTCTGTCTTTTGTCACAGGGGGACCCAGGAAACCCAATGATGTGCCAGCTACAGCAACTGAATCTGTGGGTGCTGAGAGGAATCTTGTCCCATGGTGGTGAGGAATGCCCTGGCGTATTTCTGTACATCAGGGTGGAAGACTATAGTGACTGGATTATATCCAAGACTAAGAAAACCAGCCATCCACTGTCTTCTTTCCACCACTTGGAGGATTCGTTTCCTTTCTTCAGCTACTCATCACATATCATCGTGACACAGAGAAAACATTCTGGGCTGGGCCAGGGTGGATGGTCCCAAACATACATGCAAGGACAAAAAAGGGTCACCATACATTCATGGCCAACAAACAGCTTTAGAAAGGGTCCAGATGTTCGGGAGAAAGGGTTAAAGGAATTAGGCAAGTCTTCTGTTGCAGCCATCCAACCCATGTACTATGACTATTATGGTGGGGACGCCGGGGATGGTGGTGGGCCTATTTCAGGTCAGAACAGGTTACATCAGCCCCAAGAAATTATCTTGTTTTTCTTTGTGCTGGTTTTCTTTTGCAATGGTATCTAGTCAAGGACCTAAATCTCTCAACTGAAGAGTAAGCTCAGAATGCTGAGTGCCAGGCAGTCACCATGCTATTTTGGTGTCTGTTTTTTGATAGTTGCACACCTGGGCTGCCATGGACAGGCCCACAGTGCATAATGGGTGGGCTCTCCCTCCTCTGTCCCACTCCTACATGCGGGAAGGTCACTTTCATTTGTGCTTGTGAACTAAATGTGGGCTAACAAGTGTCAAACCATTAGAGTGCCCTGTGGTTCTTTCAGTGTTAACGGTTCCAGGGGCCAGGGTATGAAATTAGCCACACTCCCCACAGGCAAATGTGGCCTGGGAAGTGCTCAGCAGTCCGACTGGAGAGTCGGGGACACCAAGCAGCACAGGGAACAGTGAGAGGACCCCTTGACTGGAAAGGAGCTGATTACTTTAATGGATCACTCTGGTCTGCAGCCGTGGCCTCCCTCTGGCTATTTCCTGGGAGGGGCAAAGTGCCTGCAACTGCTCATTGGTGGTTTTCATTTTATTCCATGCCTTGCGGTAGCCTTTTAAGGACATCTGCAAAAAAGGAAAAAAGGGGTGGGGGGGGGGGGGAGACGGTCATTTGGGAAAAAGAGATTGTGAGTTTTCAGAATGCAACCCACATCTAGTCCTGCGATGATGCAGAGGAGTCTGTATGGGCAGTGCCAGGCTGGAAGATTCTTCCAAAGAGCTTGTTTCTGTTGAGTGAAGTGAGTGGTTGTTAGGTTCCTGCTGTGCTATTTCTCAGCTCCAAATCTGACTGGTCTAAGTTTGGATCCTAATTCACTCCCTGCCACCAAGCAGAGAAAGTACTGTGGGAAAAGGAACCCAGGTCTAGATGTGAAATGCCAGGCTTCCAGAGTGACCTGCCTGGGTTTCTGAGCTACTCGTGTGTCTCAAGTGTCCTCAGTATGCAACCAGGCCTGTGGCAGACCTAGTGCTTTTTTTCTGACCATTTGCACATTTCCCGTTTCCCTTCTGTGCTCACAAGGGGCTAGGGTGCTCTGAGCACACCATATCATACAGAAAGGCTGCGGGATTATAAAAAATGAAAGATACATGGCAACTATGTAAATGCATGGAATCGGGTTCTGAGTGGTATTAAAAATCCATTATTATCTCATTTTTTAAGAATATTGGTTTCTCCATGTATAAAGTAGCAATCACTAAATTACCAACGGTGGGGGAAGGAATTCAGAAATTTCCAGAATTCTTTAAGAAAACAAGCAACTAAAAACATATTATGACTACTGAGTCTCTTCCCAATCACCTGAAAAGACACTGTCCCTAATATTGAAAAGGGAACTTAAAAAAAAAAAAAAAAGGAAAGAAAGGAAGGGAGGGAGGGAGGAAGGGAGGGCATCTTTCATTTTCCTCTATATTTCCCTGAAGAAACTGCTGAGATTTCTCACAGACATTACATATCCCAACACCCATATTCTTGGCTTGAAAAATATAACTCTAGACAAAAACGTGAAGGACAGAAAAGACAGCCTATCTTGGGGGTTCTCTGAGACTTACCTCTGCTATCTCCACTTTCCTTTCCCACATCTTGATGGTCTTCTCCAGGTCCCCATTTAAGATCTTCTCCTGCACATATAACATCACCTGCGGTGAGCGGAACTCAGCCAGCTGCTTGCGGAGCTTCTTGTTCAAAGCCTCAGCCTTGGCCCGGTCCTGGGTTGGGAAGGACATATTAAACCAGGGATCCCTGGTGGTCCTGGCTTACTGGACTTACTGGCCCTGACCCATCTCTCTCCAGTTTCAATGCAGTTCTCAAAATAATGTTAAAATTTTCAAAGATTCTGATTATTATTTTTTTTTACAAATGGTGATGTTTTCATCCAGTTCAGAAACAGTAAGTACAGTCTAAGTTTTCCTTCCTTCCTTCCTTCCTTCCTTCCTTCCTTCCTTCCTTCCTTCCTTCCTTCCTTCTTTCCTTCCTTCCTCCCTCCCTCCCTCCCTTCCTTAAAGAATATGCTTTCCTTATTGTGATTTCTTAGGTTTGGTGGGTTCTCTGGAGGAAAACTATGTACTTATGTACATTTTGATTTGATCAGACTCAACTCACTTTCCTGTCTTTTTGTAAAATACACATAACATAAAGTTTCCCATTTTAATCATTTTAAAGTGTGCAGTTCTGTAGCATCCAGTACATTCACACTGTTGTACAAGCTTCACCATCATCCATCTCCAGAACTTTCTTCATCTTCCCAAATTAAACTCCTGAACTCATGAAGCACTGATGCCTCAGGACCACTTCCCCTAGGCCCTGGCAACCGCCAGTCTACTTTCCATCTCTATGAATTTGACTCCTCAAGTACCTCATATAAGTGGAATCATAGAATACTTGTCCTTTTGTGACTTATTTCACTCAGTATGTCTTCAGTGCTTATCTGTGTTATATGCAGAATTTCCTTCCTATTTAAGGCTAAATTAATGTATACACTACATACATACATATGTATACACTACATTGCTTCTCCATTTACCTTGCTAATGGACATTTGGGTTGCTTCTACCCCTTGGCTATCATGAAATAGTACTGCTATGAACATGGGTGTACAAACATCCTTTCAAGTTCATGCCTTCAATTATATGGGATATGTATCCAGAAGTAGAATTGCTGGATCAATCATTATTCAACTTTTTGAGAAATCTCTGTCTTTTTAAATTTTATATTTAAAATTATCATACAGTAAAATTAATTTGTCTTTTTCTTTTAATTGAGTGGATTTTTTTAATTGGCAATGTCCTTTATTATTCTTTAAAGGTTTATTTTATCTTTTTAAGATTTTATTTGTGAAAATACACAGAGAGGAGAGAGAGAGGTAGAGACATAGGCAGAAGGAGAAGCAGGCTCCATGTAGGGAGCCTGATGTGGGACTCGATCTCGGGTCTCCAGGATCATGCCTGGGGCCGAAGGCAGTGCTATACCACTGAGCCACCTGGGCTGCCCCAAGTTTTATTTATTTTAGAGAGAGAGTGTATGAGCAGGAGGGGCAGAGAGAGAGGGAGAGAGAATCTCAAGCAGACTCCATGCTGAGTGCAGAGCCTGATCCAGGGCTTGATCTCATGACTCTGAGATCACGACCTGAGCTGAAACCAAGAGTGAGAAGCTTAACTTACTGAGCCACCCAGCTGCCTCTGTTTTATTTTAACTGTTTTGAATAGGCAATACATTCAATTCAAATGGTATAAAAGTATACAGGACAATCTCCCAGCCCACCTTGTCCCCAGCCACACAGTTCTTCCCAGAAGCATGCACTATTTTTAGGTATTGCATATCTTCTAGAGATCTACATTCATATAAATGTATATTTATCTTTTTTGCACAGAGTAGCCAATGCTATTCACTTTTACACTTCCAACTCTTTTTCACTCAATAAATCCTGAAGATCCTTCTACATCAACACATAAAAAAAACTACTCATTCTTTTTAACAGCTGCATCATTTTCCATTGTATCCATTTCCACTGTATTCCATTTTCCATTGTAACATAACTTAACAAGTCCTCACAGTCACTCATCTCCTCAATCTCCTGCTATTACAATAAACAATGCTGTGATTACTAATCTTCTGGGTATATGTTATACTGTAAATATGCAAGTATATCAGTAGGATGAACTACTGAAAGTGAAATTGCCTGTTCTAAGACCATAGTTCTCAACCAACAGGTGTGGGGGAGGCAACTGTGCTCCTAGGAAACATTTGGCAATGTCTGGAGACATTCTTGGTTGTCACAACTAGGAGAGTGCTACTGGCACCTAGTAGGTAGAGGTCAGGGATGCCACTAAACACACTACAGGGCATAGGACAGTCCCCTACAACAAGGAATTTTCTGACCCAAAATGTCAGTGGCGTCTAGGTTGAGAAGCCCATCCATGAGCATGTATGTATGTATGTAATCTTCAAAAGTTCTCCCCACTCTGAGGTTATAATAAAAATGTTCCCACTATTAAGTTTAGGACTTTAATGGTTTTATCATTTACATTTAAATCTCTGACACATCTGATTAATTTCACCATAACACACATAGCTCCAACTTTGTTTTTTCCTAAATGGCCACCTACTCATCCCAAATGATTTATTGAATAATCTGGTTGTGCCTCACTGCAATGCCTTTACCATAAACTGCATCAATAACAAAACTTTATCAGATATTTGATCATATACATGACATCTATGTGATCTGTGTTAGGGCTCATCATAGGACTTCTATTTTTTCTCTTTGATCTTCCAGTCTATTCACAAGCATGTTTTAAATACTGTAACTTCATATCATGTTTCAGTATCTGGTAGGGCTAGTCCACTCATCTACTTAAGAATTTGGGGGAGGGATCCCTGGGTGGCACAGCGGTTTGGCGCCTGCCTTTGGCCCAGGGCACGGTCCTGGAGACCTGGGATCGAATCCCACGTCGGGCTCCCGGTGCATGGAGCCTGCTTCTCTCTCTGCCTGTGTCTCTGCCTCTCTCTCTCTCTGTGACTATCATAAATAAATAAATAATTAATTAAAAAAAATAATTTGGGGGATATTATTTTTCCAAAAGAATTTTGAGTCAATTTATTTAAAACCTTTTTAAAAATCTACTTGGTATTTTAATTGGAATACCATGATTTCACATCTCAACTTAAACAGAGCTAACATTCTTATGATGTTGAACCTTCCTAGCCTAGCACCATCTTTTCATTCCTTGCTTCACAAAGTATAAGTCTATGGCATTGGCATCACTTGGGAACTGGTGAAAATGAAGACTCTTGGGCCTATCCAATCAGAATCTGCCTTTTAGGAATATAAAAAATAGTGAAAGGGAATAAAGGGGAAAGGAGAAAAAATGAGTGGAAATATCAGAAAGGGAGACAGAACATGAAAGACTCCTAACCTTGGGAAATGAACTAGGGGTGGTGGAAGGGGAGGTGGGCGGGGGGTGACGGTGACTGGGTGATGGGCACTGAGATGGGCACTTGACGGGATGAGCACTGGGTATTATTCTATATGTTGGCAAATTGAACACCAATAAAAAATAAATTTATAAAAAAAAAGAAAAAAGAAAAGATAAAAAAAATCTGCCTTTTAATAAGATCCCCAGGTGACTGGTTTGCACCTTCTAGTTTGAAGCACTACTTTAATTCACTTTGAAGAAAACCAAAACAATTATTTTTTAATTAACTTGTCAGAATGCAATAAAAACTCGTCAAGAAGCATTCAGTGAATATCTGCTGTGTCTAGCATAGGGAGGTCTAACATTGACCTGGAACTATCAGTGGACACCCCTGTGAGGATAATGATTAAAGAATACTTAAGATAAAATATAATGAAGGAGCAAGAACCTTGGCGTTAAAAGGCATTAAAAATAAGGGGCAGCCTGGGTGGCTCAGCGGTTTAGCACCACCTTCAGCCCAGGGCCTGATCCTGGAGACTGGGGATTGAGTCCTATGTCAAGCTCCCTGCATGGAGCCTGCTTCTCCCTCTGCCTGTGTCTCTGCCTATGTGTGTATGTGTGTGTGTGTGTGTGTGTGTGTGTGTGTGTGTGTGTGTGTGTGTGTGAGAGAGAGAGAGAGAGAGAGAGAGAGAGATGAATAAATAAAAAGCTTTAAAAAAAAAAAAAAGTTCTACAAGGGTGCCTGGGTGGTTCAGTCCATTAAGCATCTGCCTTCCGCTCAGGTCATGATCTCAGTGTCCTGGGATTGAGCCTCACATCCCATTTTCTGCTTAGCAGGGCATCTGTTTCTCCCTCTCTTTCTGCCCCTACCCCCAACTCATGCTTGTTCTCTCTCTCTCAAATAAATAAAATCTTAAAGAAAAAAAAAAAAGTTCTACAGCTATGAGGGATGTGCTTTTGACCAGGAATTACAATCCTTACCCAGCATCCACTTGTAGAGCAGGGCTGTTACAAGACAGATGGGCCACTGTTCCCACCCTCAGATCCAGTGTAGTAGTACAGAAGTTTTACTCAAGGGGAAAGGCTATAAAATAGCTCTAGAATGCTGCCTGGAAAGACTGACTTTATTTGGAACAAAGTGTGGGGAGTTCATGCTTAAGTACTTTGTGGAAAACAATGGAGATCTTTGGGATGAGCAATTACGAGGTCGCTGGAAGTTCCATGATATTAGTAGCAATAAGCAAAACAGTAGACCAGCTAGATGTTCAACAGAACCAGAGAAAGAGATCACTAAAAGACTTCTTGGGATTGGAGCAAATCTCAGAGATTGCCAAAAAAGTCCCTATAAACAGGCCTGACTTTGACTAGATCAGAATGTGTGGCAGTTAATGTTGTTGAAAGCAACAGAGCAATAAGCTAGTAATTAATGGAGGCTAACAGCTTGGTATGATACCACAATAGAAGCAGGCCAGCCAGAAGCTCAGCTGGAAGTGAAGGGAAGAGTCAAAGAGAACTCAGCAGAAACACCAATCATTCCTGGTTGCCAGCCAGGCACTGTATCCATGATCAAGGTTGCCCCCTCTAAGGCAACACCAGAGGCTACCAACAGCTAGAGGAACAGGTTTTACTAAATTATTCCAGCCAAATCACCAAATAAGCAAGAGGTAGGTGGGATTAGTATCCAGCATTGCTATAATATCTAAAATGTCTAGTTTACAACAAAAAAATATAAAATAGGCAAAGCAACAGGAAAGTGTGATCCACACTGGAAAAAAAGAAGGCAACATAAACTA